TCGAATTAATTTGATGGCCTGCTCCCAGTTGGCTTGTTAGCTCAATTGGTAGAGCGCTGCACTAGTATCGCAGAGGTCAGTGGTTCGAATCCCGTACAGGCCTGAAATTTTTTTTTTCAGGTCTGATTTTCACTATTGCTCAAATAGTGCTTTACTGCGAAGGATCGTGCACATATACGTTTCATAACCGCAGTTCATACATATGTTTCATATGTTTGTTGTTGTTTGATTTATCATCTACGGGTTTATGTCGAATTAATTTGATGGCCTGCTCCCAGTTGGCTTGTTAGCTCAATTGGTAGAGCGCTGCACTAGTATCGCAGAGGTCAGTGGTTCGAATCCCGTACAGGCCTGAAATTTTTTTTTTCAGGTCTGATTTTCACTATTGCTCAAATAGTGCTTTACTGCGAAGGATCGTGCACATATGCGTTTCATAACCGCAGTTCATACATATGTTTCATATGTTTGTTGATATTTTATATCCGTAAGCAATTGCCGATGAGAAGCTAAAGTTGAAACTGGGCTTCAAATAATTAATCAGTATCATTAATGTATAGATTTAGCCCCGCCTAAAAGCAGAGCTCCGGTTAATTTATTTTCTAGCCTTTTTTTTTATTTCTTATTAATCCTTGGAGCTGCCTGTCGAAGAGGTTATCTGAGGAAATGTAGGGCTAGTTTGGGTGGGGGAGGGGGAAGGGGGAAATTGGTGGGGTCTGGAGCCTTGGGACGATGTTCTCGCAACTTGCAAAACGATCAACACGCATGTTAGTCAGCGGTATTTATTAGCAGCCAAAGAACTTCGTGATGTTTTGAACATATTTTTACAAGGATAGGGAAGGTATTCTTCTTCGGACAGACAGTATCAGTTGAAATTACATCAAGTGACTAGAAGGAAACACACATGATTCGCTGCAACTCTGAGTTTCGTGCGTTAAGCACTCATCAGGCAGATTTAATTTTGAATATATAATCAGTTGAAATTATATATTCTATTGAGTGTGTATGACAATTTCAGCATGAGAAAATCAGTCAAAATTGAAAGAAACAACTGTAAACGACTTCGAGTTAAGACAGATTTTACTTTGACTTTGTCAATGAAGGATTTGATATAAAGCAAAAATATCTCGCTCTAATAAGAACCAAGAAGGATTTATTTATTTATTTTGAGAATCGAGAAAGAGAGCCAGCTGTGATTGCAGCACAATAAACCCAAGAGGGTCGATTAAACTTTTTTTTCTGTTTTGACTGTCCTCTGCCGCTTTCTGCGACTTCGTAAGTCATTGTATTTGAGAAGCGCAGGGGCGTATTTAGTTAAGTTTAAAACAGAAGCATAAAGTATTTGAATAAGCTTTGCGTTTGAAAAGTCTCCAGTTTTTCTTTTCCCTTCTTTTAATTCCTTTTACAGATTTCTATAAATGTTCTTTTACTTATCTTGCAACAGCGGTTTATTCTTGGTGTTTTCGTTGAAAATTTTGCGCGGGGAATTTGTGCGTGGCTGGCCAGGGGCTCGTTTCTCGAAAGTGCCGGTAACTTAATGGGCCCGAAGCCATGTTTTAAAATACAAAAATTTAAAGGGTAGGAAAGCAGGTTCTGGCAACCAAACCAGTCTTTTTTGTTTCTGTAGGGAATAGTTTTATTGTGTCATTTTCAAAACTTTTAAAGTCCCCATCTTGAATGAAAACAGAACAGCTTTACGGGTCCATTAAATTACCGGGACTTTCTAGAAACGGGGCCCAGATTGATCCACTCGCACATGCCCAAAGTTTGACCGCTGGTTTCAGTGATTGTACGGTTATGCTGTACAGTCAGTGGCACCTACCGCGCCAGCTGCGTCTAATCTTAGTCAACACTAGGCTTTACACTTACAACTGCAATTACAAAGAAGAATAATTGCAATGGAACATTCGTCATCCCTTCTCGCCGCAAATAAGCTGATGTCTACGTCTAAAACAAACTGAACATCTATTAGCTTATCACCATCGTTGACTATGCCTTTGTCGGCTTCATTTTGCAATTCAGGCTCCGTTTCGTTCGTTCGGCAGCCATGTGTAATCCTTTAGCTATATCTGCAGTCATATACGTGTCGCCACGATCGTCGACGATACTATCAGGTCCACTTTTTGCGTCAATGTCATCCTGATAATCAACAGTATCATCCATTTCAAAATCCTACTCCATATGCATTTTATTTGCATAATCCTCGGAAGCTTCTCCTTCTTCACCACCGTCCTTGTGATCCGTATATTGTTCCAAGTTGATAAAGTGTTCGCCGTGGTTCTTAGCAAAATGTCTAAAGTACACGGTAGCTGTTGAAACACTTGCTGAAGAACTGAATACATGCTGCCCACCAACTCCAAGAGTGGACATTATTTGGAGGTTGATGTTGTACAGGTTTGCTGGTGCATACATTGTTATCTGATCCCCATAGGTTCCATCTCTAGCCATATGAGTTAAATGGTCGTCCCAGCAAGCGAACTCATCATTCCTCAAATGCTCCAAAAGAGGGAGGCCGTCGCTATCGCCTGGATTACTTTCTAAGTGCACTAAAATTTCCTTCCTCATGGTTTTAGCGCGACTTACTCTCAATAAGGTTGTCCCTCAGAGAGAAAGCCAGCATCCCCGCACCAGATCATTTCGTCCTTTCAAATTCCACAACCACTACTTTGCTCACCTCTGATGATTTTAACATTCGACGCCCCTCGTAATATGGTGCCTTATTACCATGGTCTTCTCTTACTGATATCCTTTCGCTGGCACTCCAGTTTCGCACAGCAGCTGAACGCATTCAACAAAGTCTAGCAGGGCTTCAGCGACGTCGTCTGCTAAAGAAGAGGGTTTCCTATTCCCTTCAGAGTTTTCACGATCTTTATAGGCCACACACCTATCCAACAATAATGCTAGTGTAGCGGCCGCCTTTACCGATTAATAAAGGGACGCGAGAAAACTGTAGTGAAGCAACCACAAGTCTAACAAAATCAGGCTGGTCCGTTTATTTAAGGCTTGATAGACGATAACTTGATAAACACGAACTAAAGATTAACAACAGTTCGATCGAAATTCAACCATACTGACCGTCAAAAACTGTTAGGTTCCAACACAAAACACGAGCATGTTCCTCCTTAAATTCTAGCTACATAAAGATTTTTGTCACGGTCCTAAAGCGGTTCAGAGTCCACGTGCGAATCCAAAATACCCG